GAAAGTCATTTTTCTTTCGAGAATTAGTTTTTCCCAAAGAAGGCTACTTTTTCTTCACATCTGTCATCAAAACTCACTTCTCTTGTGCCTGAAAGGAATCATTCATTGCAATAGAAGCATCAGTACACTGTAACAGAAGCATCAGTAAAAGGTTGTTTGTATTTCTTTCACAAAAGGAAGATATATACAATGCATATAACACTTCCCGCTAGGTCATGATCATCCCCTGTAAAAGAATGTGAATATGACAGTATTGTGTTTGAGTTTGGGAAGTATATATTGTTATTTTTATATTCCTTTTATACTCTTGTTGGATAGAGGGAGCCCACAGCAAAGTTTAGCCCAGGCTCAAGCTCTCTTTCCTGCTGTACACTTACCTAACCTCCAGCTCATGCACACTGCTATGTAGGTAAGATGGCTTAATGGCAAGTTCTGTAACTGAGCTGGGAGAAATGCCCTTTCTAACCATACTGTTTCATTACTCTTTCCAATGGGATTATGGCTTTCTTCAAAACATCAAGCAATAGTCAATATAATATGTAACACCCACATGAGCAAATACCAACACTCCTATGACCCTATAACTCACAGCACTTTCTTTGTTGACCTTCTTGTACTATTATTACATTTTCTCACCTAGGGCTTACAATAACAGAGATAGAAAAAAAAAGAAAAAGAAAACCAGCATATTTTCAAATACGCACTGATCAATAAACTCAGCAAAATGCTTTTATTATCATAAACTGAACTGTGCATTATATGCAGAGTATAAAGAGAGAACTTATTGTGTCTGCATCATATAGTTTAATCTCTTCCTAGCAGAGCAAAGTCCACTCCCTGTGCTACTGACCATGCCATGGTGTTAAGGTATTCTGAAAAGAACATGTGTATTTGCCACAGGATAATAAATGCATTTTACTGTATACTTTGATCCTTATTTTTATAGATTTTATATTTTATTCCTTCTACCTCAAGGCCACTAGGTACAATGGACATCAAAAAGCCTCCTTTTTAAGGACTTGTGAATAGTCAGAGAATATAGTTAAAACTGAAAATAATCCATTAAAGGAACTGTTTAAAAACAAAATCAAACATGGAGTCTATTTTAGTTTATCACTTTCACACTAACATAGTTTTACTCAAGAGGAGGATCACTCCTCAAAATGGCAAAATGTAATGGAGATCTAAGCTCTGAGAATGAGCACACTGCCCTTTTGTCATTAGGTTTTGTACCAAAAAAAAAAAAAAAACAGGAATGGGAAATACATATTTTAAAAAAGCAATTCTACATCTGTCACAATTGTTCTTGCACTTTTATAGCTCGCACATAAATGCTTCATAATTATTTTAATTTTCTTCACTTTATATAAAGTTACCTACTCAGGCATTTTGGCAACGCTATTTTGGCAACTGCGTTGCAGGACACCCACACATCTCTTTCCTTGTGAATCTGTTACTGGAACACTAAATAGCTGATGTCTATATGTAATGGTAAACATGACAGCTGTGTCTTCACCCTACCCTTAAAAGCAGAGACTGATTCTTTTTCCAGTAAAGGCTATGTGATATGCAGGGATTTTCAGTGAGTCTGTGCATCCACAGTGACCAATTTTATGAGGTTCTTCCAATACCCAATCTTCCCCAAATACCCCAAAAGAGGTTTTCTTTGTGTTTTGTAGTAAAAGTTGCAAGATCAAACAATAATTTCACCATAAAAGCTGACTTTCTGCAGAGTGGAGTAATACTACTTACTTTTAAGTCTGCTTATTCCTGCTTTTTCCACATCCTCTTCCCAAATTGTGTGCCACATGTTAAATCAGCTCAGATAACTAGTTCATGATGAATTTAGCTTTGAAAAACTAATGGTTTAACGTAATCAGCTTAAAGTATTTGTAGAACTATTCTAGTAGCATTAATATATGCTATATGCATATATAGCATTAACTATATGCTATTGAATTGCATGTTAAAACCCTTAAGACAAGAATTGCAGGGAAATCGTCTTGTGTGTGTGTGTGTGTGTGCGGCAAAGCATGTCACATTCTCCTATTTTCTCCAGAATACTTTACAATACATATTAATAAAGGTACTCTTCTATTTTGAGGGAATATACTCTCACATTTCTGTACTATTTCCAAGTAAGCAATGTTTACAATTTTCTTTATCATTCATATTTTCCGAGTATGCTTTACTCATTTCAGCAACATTTTATTTTTTACTATCCATAGACATTTACAGCATGGTCTAGCTAATCACCTACATGTACCCACCACAAGGCTGGTCAGGACCACTAAGGCCTATGGGTGCACACAGGCCCTTCACAGCTACTACCAAGTTGGATGTCTTTGGGCAAGAGCTTGAGTCAAGTAGTAAAGCATTGTTCCCAAAGACTTTATTTATAGTTGCCTTATCTACTACCTGCCAGTACAGTGCAAAACCACATGTTTTAAAGCATGAAGTTATGCACTGAACATCTTGAAAAATCTTTATTTATTTTCATGCTTTTTATCTCTTCAAGTAAGGAGAATTGAAGAGCTAGTTAACAGTAAAATATCACAAAGATCAAGCCCAAAATACTGCGACTAAAATTACCATTATGGAGGGAGCCTATTTTTGTTTATCTAAAACCGTATTTGTAATATATGAATAGCTGAATTTAAAGGCACTCAAATATGTTGTCAATTTAACAATATAATGTATTTACAATTGCTGAATAGTAAAAAAAATTGAGTCACCTTTGAATGATCCCCACTTCATTTTTTTCCACAAGATCTAATGCATAATAATCATGTGTTTAAAATTTAAATCTCTATCCCAATAGCAGTTCTTTTATTTCCTTGAGTAGTCAACTGTTTCAGTAAAAATGTAGCTTACCTATTCCTGTAAAATTCCTTTACAGACAATAATACAATTACAGATTATTTGGTACTACATAATTTCACAAAACTCATTATTCTACATTTCATTCAAGTTTGCAGAAAGATCAATACAAATTTTCATATTGAAAGTTTGATATTGTTTCTGCAACCACATATAAAAATCAGAATATTTCTTCTT